AATAAAACCAAACCATTTCAGTTATTTTAAGTCACAGTGGATATTCTAAATGCAATTTTACATGGGAACTTTACCCAAAACACTTTATGAGTGATTTAGAAACAAACCTTAAAATGATACCCACTTCTAAGGTGAGGATGGCCTATATTTGACCAGGAGCTGGGAACAATGATTTATGGCTAAAGCAATATATCCAGCTAGACTGCGGTTCCCATAGCAGTGCTGAGAAGTGATTCTAGAACTATGTTGGCCATTACAATCAACTGGGGAGTGGGCTGGGGATATAGCTCAGTGGTATAGCGCCTGCCTGGCAAGCACAAGGTCCTGAGTTCAATTCCCAGTACCAAAAACAACAACAATAATAAAAAATGAACTGGGGAGGTTCAACTATACTCACAACTTCACAAGCCTCAACCTAAAAGCACAAAATAAGAATTTTATGGGAAATTCTTATAATAATCATCTGTATTTATTCAAAGGTGACTATGAAGTAGACAGCAAACAGATGGACATGTGGGACCCACTGATTTGGAGAACTCAGGGATGAGGGCGGAATGGGGAGGGCCACCAGTAATTAGCCAAAGCTCGGCTTCTTTCCTCTTTTCTCTCTACCCCACCGTTCTGCAAGGGCGGGAAGGGAATAATTGCAACTTCACTCAGGTTTGAAAGGCAAGGCACCAAAAAAACTATGTGGATGGCATCAAAACCAGGGTAGGGTGATCTTAGGTTCTGTCTACACTTATTTTTTAAGCAATCCCAGTCAGTGTCCTAGAGAAAACACAACACAGTTGGTTTCAACCACAAGGTTTATTTGCTGGCTACATGATCATGAACAAGTCTTGGTGAATTTTAGCGTTCTAGGATGGAAGGAGCCAGGTACCACCTCACTTCCCAGTGCTTCTACTTTACTAATGATATACTCAGCCTCTGCTTCTCCACCTTTTACGGTCTGAGACATCGGCACCTGTCTCTCTGCCTTCTTCACATCTGAATCACAGTTTCAGCTGTCCCACAAGACCACACCTTCAGATTCTACCTACAACAATCTTTGCCCTCACTGCCTGCATTTTGATCTTTATTATTTACTGTGTTTTGCCAACTTAAAAGCTGTGTGACTCAACAGATGTCAAGTACTTTCCTCGGTACTTGGGGTGAACAAGAACAACAAAAAAGTCAAACATATTTGTCTTTTGGGGCAGCAGGGGCTATTTAGTGGAGACAAATGAAGTGAAACAGACCTGGCCTCACAGAAGAGTGTGCCTATAATGTAGAAATTCTAGTGGGAAGAGAAGCAGAGGGTAGGTAATTCGAACTAGAACAGGGCAGAGTGTATGAGAGTGAGAAGGGAAAGAGAATGCAGGGTAGGAGGGAGGAATTGGACAGACAGACAAAACCTAAGAAACTGAAATATGAAAATAAGGGTATTAGAAGACAGTGCTTCAGTAAAAGAAAAAAGAACATGAGCTGCATTTTTAAAGATCAAATATTTGACACAACAATTTGGTGCTCACTAGCCTATGCAGTGGTGGTGAACCTACAGCATTGTGCCACGGTGGGCTGTTTATCATTGAGGACTCTAAGAGGTTTCCATCACTAGTGTATGGTTTTAGCCATTTTAACTCTTGCCTACTACCCTCCCTTTGCTGCTGTACACACATCCACAAACATGTACAAAACCCCTTCTAAATCAACAGAGACAAAAAGTAAAAGAGAAAATCAGTAAGCACAACTATTGAGAGAATTCCAAGTTGCAGTCAACTAAATCAAGAGGTACAAGGTACTTTGCTGTTGGAGTTCAGCTTTATCCAGTGCCTAATAGCAAAGCTCACTGATCACAGCTGTGTGACCTTTAGCCTAGTTTACTGTGCCAACAAAAGAGAAACCTTTGTCCTACTTTTTAATCATCTTTGTATGTAACTCAAGACCACATAAGAGTAGAGGCAGTGGAGAGAGCTGGATTATGCTGACGCTAATTTCACATTTAAAAATGTTACTCTGGCTGTGGCACTCAATCAATGGTTTTTTTTTTCTTTTTATCTTTTATTTTTCTCCTCAAAATTCAATTCTGGGAAAAAGAATTCGTTTCAGGAAGTGAGAAATTTAAAAATGCCACATCAACCACTAATGTATTTGTATCTAATTCATTTCCTGTGAAATTATTTTACTACTAATATGATGAATTTAGATTTAGGAGGAGTGAGAATTAAATATTCTAGTCAAATGTGATTTTCACTTGATAGTCACATTCAGAATTGTAATATCTGTAGAGCAGGAATAGTCTAAATCTAAAACTTCAAGAGGTACAAGTCAGTTTCAAGAGAATATATTTCCTACCAAATGTTATTTTCTTTTTTTTTTGGTTTTTCTCCGGTACTGGGAACCGAACTCACGACCTTGCGCTTGCCAGGCAGGCGCTTTTGCCGCTGAGCTAAATCCCCAGCCCCCCAAATGTTATTTTCTTGTTAAGTGTTTGTCAAGACCCTGGCACAAACTTTAAGGGTAAAGATCTGATCTGTGGAATTTAAATGGTAATCCAAGTAATTTTAAACTCACTTTCTAGATTTGTTTTCAAAATTCATGTTACTATTAAAGGAGATGGGTGGGTGTGGTGCTTGTCCATAATCTCAGCACTCGGGAGGCTAAGACTGCAGGATCACATGAGTTGAGGCCAACTGAGCTACACAGGGAGTTCAAGACCAGCCTGAACTACATAGCAAGATCCTGTCTCAAACAAAAAACCCGAAATAACCCCCTACAACTCCCCAACAGTATGTTATATATTTATATGTAATATATATTTATATATAATATATATAACATACATGTATAAGTAGAATGTAAAATATATTTTTTGTGTGTATATATTTCTCTAGAGAAAATATATCAAAATTAAGCTGCCAGCTTTTTATTACCTACATAAAATAGATAAATGACTTTTTCTGGAGACAGGGTCTGGCTATGTAGGGATGGCCAGGATGGCCCCAAACTCAAGGCAATCCTCCTGCCTCAGCTGCCCAAGTGCTGGGACAGGCATGTGCCACCATACCCGGCTGATGATTTTTAAAAATTCTCATATTCTACAGATTCAGGGCTAAAAGAGTTAATAATAGCTAACAGTCACTGAGCACTTAACAACTCCATAAGAAACTACTTTACACCTAACATATCTCCTTTAGACCTCACAAAATGGTAATATTCTCCAGTTTACAAATGAGAAAAGTTATACAAATTAACTGCCCGAGGTCACCAGAGGGTAAATCAGTCAGACTCCACATTCAATGCTTTTAATTGCTGTCATGCTACTTCTCATGGCACTTACTTCTCATGGCAAAGAAAATCTATAGTTTCAATTATTCATTTTAGAGATGAGAAAAATAAAAGCCACTTAAATTATTTGTCCAAAGTCACACAGCTAATTAGTGACTAGAAACCACACGACTGGACCACCAATTCAGTGCCAGTCTATTAGGAATACCTAGCAGCTGGGCATGGTGGTGCATGCCTATAATCCCAGCACTGAGGGAGGTTAAAGCAAGAGGACTGCAAATTCAAGCCCAGTCTAGGGCAACCTAGTGAATTAGTGAGACCCTGTCTCAAGATAAAAAATGAGAAAAGGGCTAGGAGTATAGCTCAGTTCAAAGGCCCTGGGTTCAATCCTCTGTATTGCAACAAAACAAAGCCCCTCACAACAAACACGGGAGCAAATTCAAGAAATATTAACAACTTGCCAGGTGTAGTAGGGCACACTTGTAATCTCAGCACTCAGGAGGCTGAGGCAGAAGGATCACCAGGAGTTTAAGGCCAGCCTGAACTACAAAGTGAGACCCTGTCTCAAACCAAAACAAAATTCATGATTTTTCAAAGTGTTAAATGACAAATATGCAAAATAAGGAAAAATAAAAACTTTAAGGAAACAACCAAATGCTAAGGGAAGGCATATAAATCATAAGACACTGGATGATTACTTTTTAATTCATTTCCCCAATCTTCACAATATTTCAATTTTCTGTAATGTGGTTATACCATGACTGATCACAGAAGCACCCTACAGAGACTAAAGACAGTCGTCGAAATAAAGCAGAAAAAGATGCCATCTCTAAATTACTGTAATCTCTTAGAGTAAAGGAGACTCCTGCTACCTGTTTTAAAAACAAAACAAAAAACTACCTCACTGGCCCAGCAGAAGAAATTCATATTACAAACTAAAATGAAGGTTTCTAGTTAAGTAACTGGTAATAAAAAAGTCACATTTGACCTTACAGACTTGCGATGGAAGGAAGATGTTACATTTTCTACAGCTAGCCCCTTAAACCTTTACTATCAGTTTGAAGAAGACTACAGCTAATACAGGAATACTGGGAGTTGGTAGAAATTATAGTTCTTAAAATGATCTAACGTTTTACTCACAGCATATAGATATTTGCCTATTTTCACAGTGAAGTTGCAAAACCTCGCGTTTCAACATACTATACGTTCACACTGGGATTACTGGAAGTTTAAGAACTGAATTTTCTACTTAAAAGTACAAAAATGGGTTTGACGGGAAGAGCAAGGAGTGGCTGCGATCTGTACGGCTGTTAATACCATCGGAGAAGCTTGCAAGAGAGCTCTCGTCAGCAAGGTGCTGCGGAGCCTTGAAGATGTGACAGGGTCTGGTCCTCCCGATCTATCACCGTCAGGGTCAAGGTCAAGGCCATCATTAAAGAAAATGAGGGGCGTGAGCACGTAAGAGCCACGCTGAAGACCAGCAGAAAGGGTCAAGAGTGGAAAGGACTCAGGGAGGTAAGGAGTCAGGGGGCCGGAAATCGCTACCGGACTTGGAATTGTGAGGAAGGAAGTGACAGTGCCTTCGCAAGGGCACAGGGAAGGGGTCCCTGGGCACGGACCCCCCAGGGGTCCCGAGTGGGGTGGACTGACAGCAAGGGCGCACGCTGCTCTGGGAGCCCCAGTTCCTGCAGCAGTTCTGCCCGAGCCTCCGGGGCGCCTTCAGCCTGTCTCACCTCGAGAGCGGAGGATCCTGAAGGCCCTGAGGCGGCTGAGGCTGCCAATTGCTCGGGAGGCCACCATCTTGAGCAGGAAAGGACGAGAAGCGGAGAGCGCGTCTAGCCGCGGATGCCAAGCGGAGGACTTTTCTTACCCAACCCTAGCAGCCCAGCTGCCCAGCGTACTGCCTGACTAAAGCCCAGACGCGGAGTTGTCGCCGACCCTTTTAACCTTGTCTCTCGCTCCTTGGGTAACCGGGCCGAGAGGATGCTTTCTCCACCAGAGGACGGAGGCCCATCGTGGAGCGGACAGAGCGCCGGTTTTTAGTCAGGCGGCTGGAGGGCAGCCCGCGAGAATGGCAGCGCCCGTGGGCGGGCCCAGGGGTCCTTTTCGGACAGGACCCGCCCCTTGTTCTCGGGAGCCTGGTCACTCCCGACAGAATCTGGCCGCCAGCAGGAACGCGGGGAGGCGAGCAGGGGACTAGAGCTAAGGTGAGCCTCTGCTTTGCACCTGGCCTTTCCTGCAAGCAGATCCCACTTTTCTCCCACCCGCTGCGCCTGTGCGCGCGGCCGCCTCCCCTCCCTGAGCGAATAGAAGTCTGGAGAGCGGAAGGAAGCTCCTCCTTGACCAGGCCAATCAGTAGCCACCACCGGGCAGTGACCCGGCCGCGCGTTATGGCTTAGATCCGGGCAGCAGTGTTACCTGTCATAATTTACCCCCAAAAGTTAACGAACTCTTTGCGCGTCTACAACGCCGGACAGTGTTGGAGTGTTTGTTGTTTCACTCGCTTTACTTACAGCGCAGTCGGTGGCTGTTGAAATTCTGGAGGGCGTCACGGGTTTATCCTGAGTTTTGCTATTAAATGTGCTAATAAGGTGTGGAAGGAGCTGGGGCATCCCGCAGTCAGCTTGGTGATCCGGTGATCGGGGCATTTTCTAATTCAGAAGGAACCTGGCGAACGTGATGGCATGCATCCCCTTCACTATATCGGTGAAGAAACTAAACCGTGAATCTGATGAAGTTTACCAAAGGCCACAGGTGGTAGAAATAGAATTGGAGTCAGAGCTCGGAAAGATGGGCTTGAGTCCCGGAATAGTCGCTAGTGTCAAAAAAAAAGAAGAAAAAAGAAAAGAAAATCAACATTGAGGGCCTGAAGTGCCCTTGACACCTTCACATCATTTTAATTCTCATGATCCCAAATTAGTGCCATTTGTATTTTCTAGATGAAGTTTGGGAGCCTCGGGGAGATTAAATTTTCTGGTCTATGGCAAAGCCAGGATTCAGACATAATCTGACGCTCAGTTCACTAGATTGTTCTGCAAGAGAGAAAACAAGAAATGGCAGGCTGAAAAATAAGACGTTCGGAGAGAAAGAAGATAGTGTTCTGTTTTAAAGCTTAACTCATCTTCCTCTCCCTGAGAACATTTTTTTTTTGTACCGGGAATTGAGCTCACGACCTTGTGCTTGCCAGGTAGGCGCTGTACCGCTGAGCTATATCCCAAGCCTTTCACTGAGAGCATTTTAAGCAGAAACTGAGTGACCACTTTTGAATGAATTGCAAAAACGATTCTTGACCTTACAGATACTTACACTTCAAAGCCTGTATCTTGGCCACGTAATGCTCTCTTGTACACTTAGTTGTATGTAGCACTCATTATTTGCATCAAGGATGGCAGACTTTTTCTGCAAAGGGCCAAGCAGTAAATAGTTCAGGTTTTGTGGGCCCATTTTGGTGTTGTTATATATTATTTGTTTTGTTTACAAATCTTCAAAAATGTATAAACTGGGGCTAGGAGTGTAGGTCAGTGGTGGATGGCCTACACCAGGCCCTGGGTTCAATCCCCAGCACAGCAAAACAAACAGAACAAAAACCCCCAAATTAATGCCTATTTATCCTTTCTATATACTGACACATAACTTCATGGACTTTTTCTTTCTGTCACAAAATGGAGTCTTACTAGGCATTTGTTCTATAGTTTGCTGCTTTTATTTTATTTTTTTTTATCCCCTATGGTTCTGGGGATTGAGCCCACAGCTTTTGCACTGAGCTACATCCCCACCCCTTAAAATAATTTTTTTTTTTTTTTAATATTCAGACAGGGTCTCCCTAAGTGGCTAAGTTGTCCAGGCTGACCTCTGAGTTGAGATGCTCTTGTCTTAGCCTCTCAGAGTGCTGAGATCATAGGCATGTGCTACCCAGCCGATTTGCGGCTTGGTTTTTCATTTATTATTTATTATGGATATCTTTTCATGTCAGTATATACAAGGGCTGATCAAATAAAGGGTGTGTCTTTAAATAAATTAATTCCCCTCAAAATACTGCTTGATTGGCCCATCTAGACATTTCTGAAACAGTTGTAGAAGTCATCTTTTATGAATGTCTTTACAAGTTACGATAAAAAATAAAGTGAATGCTGCTGCAGAGCACCATCCAGAGATAAGCAGGTCATAAAAACTTCGATGTGTTTACATCCACTTTTTTCATGGATCAGGTACCTGCGACTTGTGGCTTTTCACCAAAGTCAAAATGACCACGAAAAGTAGAGGTTTTGTATCAATTCAAGACATTGAGGGAGGCATGACAAAACAACCAAAGACACAAAAGAGCAGCACTCTGGGAGGATGAGGCAGGAGGACTGCTGTGAGTTCAAGGCCAGCTTTGGCTACATAGTGAATTTGAGGGACAGCCTAAATTACATAGTGAGACCTTGTCTCAGAACAACAACAACAACAAAAAACCAAAAAAAGCAAGGGGAACTATTTTGAAGGATATGGCTGTGTCTTTTATGGTGATAAATTTTAAAAAAATTAAAAATATTCACTGTTATTTTTGATCACCCATTACATGTATGTCATTATGTTTCATTTTTATTTACACATTTCTGGACAGTATTGCTTGATATGATTGTGATACAATTTAAACATATAAACGTTCCTGTTGAAGTGCATTTAGAATAGTTCCACAAATATTTTTATGTGTTTTATTTATTTTAAAGAATTAAAAAAATAATAAAAAGATGCAGAATTTCAAAACAAGATGATGGGAAATTAACAAAGGTTATTATATTGCATATTATTATCTTCAAAGTAGTTGCTCAGATTACCAGATATAGGCATGCAAAATTGACCTACAATACAAGCACTAACTGTTCCTTTCAATGAACTAATAGAAATTAGTAGTAGAATTAGCTGTCTTGTGTGTCTTTCTCCCTTCCTTCTTTTCTCCTTTCCCCCATCCCAGTTGTTCTTTCCTAGATCCAAAAGTACAATAGATATTGTAAAAGGAATAGTTCCACAAATATTAATAATGAACATCTTGAATATTCCTGTAGGCTGGAGACCTACATGCACAGCACATGCTTTCGTTTTGTTTTGTTTTGCTTTTGTGATGGAGTCTCACCATGTTGCCCAGGCTGGCCTTGAACTTACAATCTTCCTGTGTAAGCCTCGAGAGTACCTGGGATTTGTGCCTCCATTGCCAGTAACACATGTATTTTGAATATTTTTACAGGTTGGAGACCAGTAAGATGAATTACTACAGTCAGAAATTTAAAGTTTGCCTTCCAAAGAAGTCTTAGCAACTTATACCTATTTCAGTTAGTATATGGAAATGCCTGTTTAAGTTAGATCTGTTCTTACCAGAATTGAGTGTTAATCATGAACTTAAGTTTTGCTGATCCAGTAGCCCCAAAATGAGACCTTGATTTTATAAAGTTTTTTATTGTTAATTGTGGAGGACATTCTTTGATTCAAATACATTGAGGACACACTGATTTGTTTATTATTTGTTAGAGTTTCTTAACATAACGCTTCATTACATGGCCTAGATTAGCCTTGGGTTTACGATCCTCCTGTCTCAGTCTCTTTGAGTGCTGGGATTACAGGCGGTATTGGATTACATGTGGAGAAGGATAATCCTTTAATTATCCTTGCTAAAATGTTTGGTATCTGCCCATTTGTACTAGCTATGCCCTTGGTTCTCACTCAATAAAAGGTGACTGAGATTGGTAATCGGGGCTGCAATCCAAGAAGCTGTAAGCTCCCTGATACCAGAATTTTGTCTCTCTTGTTTTTCTTGTTTCTCTTACCTTTTCTTTTCATCCACGGGCACCTCGTTCTTGGGACCTGACACCCTGAATAAAATGACAGTTAATGAGATTGGACATTCTAAAAGATTTATTTATTTATTTATTTTTGGTGGTAAGGATCAAACCCAGGGCCTTGTACACAGCAGGGAAGTGCTCTACTGCTGAGCTACATTCCAGCTCTGAGCATTTGAATTTCTTTGGTGAATTGCTCATTTGCTCAGTTTTGCTTTTGGTCTGTGTATCAGGAAGAAGCTACTCAGTTGCAAAAAATGGAAAATTCAAGCAAAATGGCTTACTTTTTTTTGTTTTGTTTTGTTTTTTTCCAGTACTGGGAATCGAACTCACAACCTTGCGCTTGCCAGGCAGGCAGTGTGCCGCTGAGGTAAATCCCCAGCCCCAAAATGGCTTACTAAAGGGACTTTATTGACTTACAGAAGTGAAAAACCGAAAGGCAAGGGTCTGGATCTGACTTGGCATCCAGTTTTTCCCCCCGCTCCTGAAATTCTCAGCCCTGCCTTCTTTTGGTGTCAGCTGTATCCTTAGCGTGGCTTTCTTGTTGTGGTACTGGGGTTTGAACTCAGGGCCTTGTGCATGCTGGGCAAGCGCTCTACCACTGAGCTGTATCCCCAGCCCTAGAGTAGTTTTCTTAATGTTTGCCAAGTGCTGCAGTTGGGTCACGTGTCAGAAGGAAAGATTTTGTGCTTTAGAATTCCAACAGAACATGTGTAAGTTAGCCTGACTAAACCATTCCTACATCAGTACCAGTGGTCAAGGCAGTGCATGCATGGCTGTTTTAAGACTTGATTATCTGAACCAGTGATCTTGACAGTGAGAATGAAATTATTCTGATTGGTTAAGCCTGGGGCTGTGCTGGATTTAATCCTAGGTAAACCACATATAGCAAGCAACTCGTGATGGGCTGAAATGCAAACTAGAATAATAAATATGGATTCCATTATAAATTTTGTGTTTTTCTAAAATTTGAAATAAGTTCTTTATGGATTATGGATATTAACCCTTTTCTGTTTTATTTGTTAGAAGTATTTTCTCTGACTCTTACTGTTTGCCTTTTAACTTGATTTTAGTATCTTTAAAATTTTTTTTAAATTTTGCAGTATGGAGGACTGAACCCAGGGAGCATTGCGGTTAATTAGCCCTTTTATTTTTAAATTTTGATACAGGGTCTCACTAACTTGCCCAGACTGGCCTTGAATTTGAGACCCTCTTGCCTCAGCAGCTCATAAAATTGGAATCACGGGTATGCAACACTATATGCAGCTGATTTTAGTATCTTTTGCTGTGTGTGTATTTGAAATGTTTATATAATCAGATCTATTAGTTGTTTGACATGGGTTCTGGATTCTGTGCTATGTATTGGAGTCCCTTCTGTATCTAAGATTATAAAAAATTTTCTGTTTTTTTTTCCTAGTAGCTTATTAAAATTATATGTTTACATCTTAATCCACTTGGCGTTTATTTTTACATACATGTGCTATGAACATAATTTTCCCAAGTGATTACCATTTTCTCAGGAAATTTATTGAATGATCCATCTTTCTCCCACATATTTGAAATGTTACATTCATTATATACTAAATTCTCGGACATGGTTATGCTTCTAAACTTGACATACCCTGTTCTATTGATCAGTTTCATTTATTCCTGGGCTAGAACTGCTTTGTTTGAATTGCTGGTGCTTTATAGGGAGTTTTGATATTTCTTAGAGTAAGAGGCCCCTTTTTATTTTCAACATGTTTTAGACCTGTTTATGAATTTTATTTCAAAATTAACCTGACTCACACCAGGCCCTTGTGGCATTGTAAGTAGCTTGTGAAAGTGAAGGTGCCCATTCCAGGGGCACCTTTGTATTTCCCTGGCCCGAGCTACTTGAATGGGCCTTGGGCTGATGAGCCCAGAGCTTGGACTCTTCCATCTCGTTCCAGTACCTTTGTTTGATATGTGAAGTTTTGTTCTTTTAGAACATCTTCCTTTTAGTCCATAAAGACCCTGGATAAGTTAAATCTTAAGGCTTTTGTATCATTATCTGTTGCTGGGTATCAAGTTATCACCAAATTTAGCAGGCTAAAACAATACGTGTCTGTTATCTCATAGTTTCTGAGAGTCAGGAACTGGGGTACCATAGCTGGCTTGTTCTAATTTAGGAGTTTCTCGTGAGATTGCAGTTAGAAAGTTGCCCAGTGATGTGGTCATTTGAAAGTGTGCCTGGGCTAGAGGATCAGCTTCCAAGCTCACTCACGTGAGCATCAGTTCCTCAGAATACAAGCCTCTTCCTAAGGCAGCTGGTGATGTGCCAGTTGGCTTGCCTCAGAGTGATCGTGGGAGAGAGGCCACAAGAGAAGCTGCAGTATTTTTACAGCCTAATCTCAGAAGAGACAAATCATTACTTCTGACATATTCTGCAAACCAACTGCAGAATAGCATGGGAAGCAACTATACAAGGTTGTGAATATGACAAGTCAGAGATTTTGAGGGTCAGTTTAGAGGTTGGCTACCACAAATCTTGTGTTTGTCTTTCCAATTAAAGTGTTTCAAAATTAAGAAATTATTAAAAATGTACAATGAGAAGTCTTCTTTCATCCTTGTCTCGTAGTTACTCAGTTCCCTTCCTTTTAGTTAGCAATTATTTCCAATATTTTCTTTGTACTTCCAGGAATTTTATTTTATTTTTGTACCAGAAATTGAACTCTGGACCTTGCACTTGCCAGGCAGGCACTTGTGCCACTAAGCCGTGTCCCCCGCCCCCAGGGATATTTTATAGTAATACGAGGGAGTGTATATATCATTTATCGTTTTTTAATATGAGCAATAGCATGCTGTTGCTCATGATTTTGTACCTTGCTTTCTTCACTTAATGCTATAGGTTAGAAATGGTCCCATGCTCTTTGTACAGAATGATTTCCTTTTACCACTTGCGTGGTATGGTGTGTCACTGGGTTGTTGTAGCATGGTTAACAACTAATTCCGTGTTTGTTGGTTATTCTAATCATTTGCTATTACAGTGACAACACAGGTCATGTGTGTAACACCCAGGAAGTAAATTCATGGAAGTAGAATTGTTGGATTAAAAGTTAGGTGAAGCTTTTGACAGCTACAGCATTACCTCTGTTGTTGAACTCAGAGTTCATTCTAAATTTATGTTCAGATATCAAAAGTTCATTCTAAATTTATGTTCAGATATCAAAAGTTCAAAAATTGAACATATTTTTTCCCAAAAGCAATAATGGAAAACCAAATAATTGCTTCTGAAGCTCAAAACTTACACTTATAAATGCATTTTCCCAGAACTGTAACACAAAGTTAACAGCCCTGGGTTGTAGAAATACCCCCTAAAACATCTAAACACAATAAATACTGTACATTAAATGTCAAAACAATACAATAAATAAAATTTTTAAAAATGTGTACAGGTGTTTTACCTTGACTTGGAGGCTTCCTGGCATACTGGAAGCTGGAGAGAAACTGGAGCTGGGCAAACTGTGGGGCTTTGGGCAAGTTTCTCTATGTACTTGGCCTCCTTTGGACCTGGACTGCCTGGGTTCAAGTCTTAGCTCTGCCACTTAGTAGCTGTGAGTCTTTGGGCAGACCTCGTCTCTTACAAAGAGCGTAATAATCACAACTACTTCACAAGTGACAGTTGCTTAGAATAGTGGTTGTCATAATGTGCATTCTTATCCATAGGGCTACTACAATATTATTAGCAGAACAAGAGTTGATAATAGATGATGATGATTTTTTTACAGTACTGTGGATTGAACCGAGTGCCTCAGTGCATGCAGGCAAGCTCTACTACTGAACAATATCCTCAGCCCTTATTATTTTTTGAGACAGGGTATCTATCACTAAGTTGTGTAGGTTGAAACTTGCATTCCTCCTGCTTCAGCCTCCCAAGTAACTAGGAGTATAAGTGTGCACCATGCTCAGGTAAACTTTTTGGTATTTTGTAGTAGCCTTGGTTGAGGTTATTGGAGAACATATATTGTATAGAAACTATAAATTGCTCACATAACCCAGGATATTTTTGCTCTGCTCTTTTTAGATTTCAGAATGACTTCCATCTTGACTTACACTTTTAGAAACCTTCCCAGTACATCAAAATGGACCCTCAGATTTTGTAAGTTTAATTTTTCTTTCTTTTTTAAGATTAGATTTGGATTTATAAGTATTTCACACAGACATTGAATGGTGTTGCTTTTTGTAAACAGTTTATTTATCTTTTAGGTGTAAGACCTCTGAGCTGTTCCTCCCAGCTACGAGCAGGCCCAGGTATAGAAACTTATAAAATATTTCTCACTGAAATGTTAGATTCTATATCTGTGAATTCTGAATAAAAACCAGTTTGCTAATTCTACCTTATTATGATCAGTGTGAACATCACTGTAGGTTTTGAATTAAAAACTTATAGAGCCAATCAGTAATGATATTGTATTGTTTAAGGGCTTAAGAGATTTGTTCTCTGTGCTTTGGAGCCCAATGGAGTCATGAAGTTTCCATAAATCTCCCTGGCCAGTTTACCTACCCTCTGGCTGTCAGTGCTGGAGTTGGTAGCTGACATACACTCTTTGAGACCTTTGTGGAACCAAAAGTTAACTTTTAAAGTTTGCATTTTATGGTAGGCTAGGCTACTAAATATCTTCTTCCTGTATATGCAAGAGGACCTATTTCTGAAATAGAAGAGAATAAGAAAATAGTAAAAGATTGGTTAGCTAATATGAAATGAAAGAGCAAGGAAATTTGTTGATTTGATAGCCATTTAGACACTTGGTAAGAATTAGGTATCTTCACTGTTAACCTACACCTTTGCAGAATGTGTTGCAGGTATTTATCTTCCCTGGTCAGTGCTAAAAATATCATGACAAATTGTTAACATTGTTTCCATGCCTAGGTTTTGTTTTGACCCTTAGTTTCATTATGGTGTTTCTACTTATGTAACAACTTAATAGAAAAAGGACCTTCCAGAGTTCAGAAAGTTTGTGCTCTGTTCCAGCTCTACCTCATTCTGGGCATTGGGGCCCTGCACTAGGCACCTTACTTCTGTGTGCTTTCGTTGCCTCCTCTAAAGAAGAAATAGAATTCTAGTCTTGTCATCCTATTATAGTTATGAAGATATCTCAAAACCCCTTGAAAACTCTAAACTCAACGTAAAGTTTTAGGTGCTATTATCGTATTACTTTCATATAGTGCACTGGATTCTCAGAGATCTGTTGCTTAATTCTAGCCAGCACAGTGCCTTTTGTCATGTAAGAGTTACATTTCTGTGGCTTCTGGGTTTTAATTAGAACATAGGCTTCTGTTAGTCCCCCAGAAGATAATTCTTTTCTCCTTTCACCTTTTCCCTAATGACAATGTGCACGCATGCCTTTGTTTTGCCATCACACAAATAAACCTGATCCTTGCCAACTAGGGGAAGGTCATTCTGAATATCAACAAGGAGGACATTTTTCTGGCATTTAGACTATTCTTTATGTTACCCGATGAATTTTCAATGTTTTTGTCTCTCTAACTGTGTTGTAAGCCTTCGTAAGATTTTTTTTTTTTCTTTTTTTGTCTTTTTGAGACAGGGTCTCACTATGCAGTTCAGGCTGGCCTTGAGCTCACTTTGTAGCCCAGGCTGGTCTCAAACTTGTAATGATCCTCCTGCCTCTGCCTCCCGAGTGCTGGGATTACAGGCATGCACCACCATGCCTGGAAATAAGATTTAAGCTGTTTGTGTCTCCCTTGTCTTAACACTGTGTCCTATAGTGGGTTTGCACTGACACCAATAATGACAGTGGTGCATGCAGGCTGCTGATTCGACAAAGGAATGTGACTGGCTGATTGAGGGTAGACAGTAGGCTTGTGCCTGTCTGAGCAGGTTTTAGGTTACAGTAATTTTACAACCATGCAACTCCTCTTGACACACATGTGAATATCCCTGTGTGATGAAGGGTTTTAGGGTATGAGAGAGTACAAGATGTGTTGATGTTTTCAGTCATCTGATGAACTGTAAGTGTGTGATAGAAATTTTGGCTGATTTGATGATTATATGTCTCTTTATACCTCTCTGTTTACACACACACACACACACACACACACACACACACAGAGTTAGGAGCCCGTGTGCATGGCGAAACAGGGTAAGAGTTCTTTGGGTGACTGTTCAATACATAATAACAAATATTATTTTTAAAATACGGCTTGTAGAGTTAGTTAATTACTTTATAGTAAGCTACATTATTTGGAATGGCCAGTTTTTGCCCTAGAGGTTGCCATAAAGTTTAGAGGCAGAAACTACAGGTTACTGTAGTTATGAGGGAAGGTTTTATTTTTAGGAGCTAGAATGTGAAATATACCTGAAAGACACGTAAGAAATGGGTGAAATGGGGTCTCGCAGGTGGGAGGGTTCCTGAATAAGGCAGGGAGGTTAAGTGTGCAGAAGTATGAGGGACCCGAGGCTTGCTCATCTTGTTATAGTTTTAGAAGTATTGGAGAGTAAAGACGGAACTAAGTAAGGCAGGAAATTCATTAGAGGAATAAAGGTGAAGGGGTGTGTGTATGTGTGTGTGTGAGAGAGAGAGAGAGAAAGAGAGAGTGGGAATTGACTCTCACTGAGCTACATCTCTAGCCCTTTTTTATATTTTATTATGAGATAGAGTATTGCTGAGTTGCCCAGGCTAGACTCAAACTTGTGATGCTCCTGCCGCAGCCTCTTAAGAGTGCTGAGATTACAGGCCTGTCTCATTGGGCCCAGCAGGAGTGAGGAATTTGAATTTTATCTGAAAATTTTATAAAGGGAACATGTGGTCAGTTCTTAAAAGGCACAGTGACATGATGATGTGTCACCCACTGTTTCTTCTCATCACTTTACTCTTTCTAAGTTTAGTCATGAGGAATCTGAAAATTTAGGGGCCTGCTTATAGTTCTTTTTCTCTGTGAGGATTGAAATTATCAGCTTGTGTTGTTTTTTCTGCCACTCTTGTGCCTTTACTGTTATACACCGTGTCTGTCTATTTTTCCCCCCAGTACGGGGGTTGAACCCGGGGCTTCATGGGTGCTAGGCAAGCAGCCTACCGCCCAGCTGTATTACTGGCCCTGCCATCTCTTGATTCTCCTATTGCTTCACAAAGTTGCTTTCTGTCTCACATCTTCTCCACCCTGTCAGTAGAGGGAAGTCACAGAGCTGAGTGTGTTTTTATTGTAGGTAATGGACCCTTAAGTTAAGAATGCGTGGCTTCATGTGTACTGCAACTGGGAAGGTGTTAGGAATCAAGCCAGCACCTCCAGGGGCCCCTTTGGTTTTCTGTCCTGCCCTATGGGAATGTCCCTTTCCTGGCCTTCCTGCATCTCTCCATGTATCTGTATCTTTCTTCATTCTTGCTGGCTTCTTTGCACACTTGTCAATTTTGCTACAACCTATAGAAGCTACAGTGTATTGACCACAAAATACACGGTTTGCTACAACAACACAATTTTGCTAGCAACCTATATGCTACAACCTATAGAAGCTACAGTGTATTGACCACAAAATACACGGTTTGCTACAACAACACAATTTTGCTAGCAACCTATATGCTACAACCTATAGAAGTTTTCAGTTTGCAAAGGTTCTTCCTCAGACCATCTTTTTCAGCTTCTACTAGTTAGCATTTCTTTCCATGCTTCTTTGCATAGATTCCATCTGGCATAGTTTGTCGCTTATGTAGGTAGATGTCATGCCTATCACTGGTTGCTATGGTTTCAGTGTGTCCTCAAAGGTTCATATGCTGGAACTTGGTCCCTAGTGATACTGAGAGGTTGTAGAACCTTTACGGGGTCAGAGATAAGTAGATCATTGAGACATGAACCTTGGAAGAAATGAATATAGTTCTCTTGGGACTCTGGTTGGTTCCCTTGAGTGGGTTTTATAATGTTAGGCCATTCTCTGTGTGTGGCCCCTCAGTACACTGCCATTTCCTTCCCTGCTTCTTTTGGTGTTGTGATGCAGCCACAGGAACCTTCACCAGTGCCTTGCATTTTGGACCCTCCAGACACCATAACTGTGAACCATAAAACCTCTTTACTTAAGTACTCAGACCTGGGTATTTTGTTGTACCAACACAATATGGATGACACAAATACACTGGGCAGTCCCTCTATAGATTAAATGTTGGAGATTCCATTATATCCACCCTGAATCTGGCCAGCTTTTGTTATGGACTCAGAAACATGGTCATCTAAAGCTGTTCTTTTGGCAAGGATTATAAGCAGCAAAATTCCTTTAGAGGAGACTGAGCAAGCAGGTATCATGGCAAAATATGTCTCCGCTTCTCTTCTGGATTTTAAGCTTCAAATATTTCCTGATTTTCTGACCTGCACCTTACTTCAGAGCATGGTTTTACATCTCTAGCTATCTGCCAGACAGCCATATCTACCTGGTTGCCTTTCCATCACCTCAAAGTTAACAAGTTTAAGAATGAACTCATCATTCTTTCAAAACTAGTTCTCATTTTGTATAGAGCAGCTAGTTTCCTTAGTCTCTAAACTTCCTTCATAATCTTGTTTTCGGGTTTTTGTTCTTCTATATTTAATTGATCACCAAGGTGTCTAGTCTTCCCTTTTCAAATATCTTGTATTGGTCCCTTCCTTTACATTCACGTTGATTTTGTCTTTACCTCACCATGGGCGCAGGGTGCTTGGATTCACTGTTCTCCGTTTCCTCCTTGCTGTTTTTATCTCTTTCACCAACACTTCTCCATCAGATCTGACAGAATACTCTGTGGACCTGTTATATCAGACTCGTAGCTCTGACTGCCATTCCTTCAAGTTTGTTGTAGGTATTTACCATAAATACTTCCCTGTGACATCAGTGGTTCTGGTAAAGTGATTACTGAAATTTTATTCATAACAATGTAGGATTTTTTTTCTCTATCTGATAATATGGTGGTGATAGTAGGTAAATGCTAACATTAACAACATGAAAATGACAGAGATTTAGATACATACCAGCACAGAAAAGTCTTCAAGCTATAATGATAAGTCAAAAAAGTATCCATGATACACAAGTGTATGTATGTACGTGTATTGGAAAGGAGTTGAAAGTAGCAGTATTTACCTCTGGAAAGGAAATAATGTGGTAGGAAAGGCATAAAGAGGGAATTTTAGTTTTTGATATTGTTTACTTTTTTAGTACCATTTGCATATATTCACATTTTATTCTTCAATTTTTAAAAATACTAAAGGACAGTTATTCTTTTGAGGTTAAAGTATTTAGGCAAATTGAGTCAAGCAGAGTCAGGAAGCATTCTAGGTCTTTGCAGAATAGCAGTGATCATCAGCCATGTGTCCTTTTTTTCTACATAGGTAAGCACAAGCTGTTTGAAAAGTGAACACTTTCAACCATCGTGACCTCTACTACTAGGTTTTATGTGTAGAAGTGTTTACTTTTAATAGAGTAGGTTATCAAACATTTGATAAAAATGACCAGTTTTGTTTATGGCATAGCTAGATACCCTTATCATTGGGGATAATCTTTGTTTACCTTAAACATTACTTAAAACTTGTAAATTCTGAATTATTTTTTGTTTGGTTTTGTTACAAGGTCTCATTATGTAATTCATGCTGGCCTTGAACTCAAAATGATCCTCCTGCCTCAGCCTCCTAAGTGCTGAGATTACAGGTGTGTGTCATCCCAGCGAATTCTGAATTTTTAGCCTTTAAAAAATATTTAAATGGTTTAGTAATTGAAAAATACAGCCTGACCTTGAGTGATGTTATTCTTAGAATGTCTATCTTCTAAAATGTCACTTAATGTCATACATTTTACTTAATAAGTCTTTGAATTTTATTTTAAAGCTGTCCAGACCAAATCGAAGAAGACCTTGGCCAAACCCAATGTGAGGAATGTTGTGGTAGTAGATGGTGTTCGCATTCCGTTTTTGCTGTCAGGCACTTCGTAAGTATGAAATGATCATGTTAGTTCTTCTTTGAAGGTGCTGTCTAGAGTGGGCTTTGTAAATGCGGTTTAACCCAGTAGGTTACAGTATCCTTAGTGGACTAATATATGAATAACATCTCCATGAAATTAACACACACTAAGTCCAGTAAGTGATGAAGTGATGTCAAAATGTTTTTGATCATTCTCATATATCAGCATAATATAGTTTTAGCTTGAAACAGCCCTATTTTGGAAGCCCAGTATAGGTATACGTAGTTTGCTTTCAACAGAACTGCCCTTTTCTGGAGACAAGGACATTGTTTCTGTGCTCCCTCAGAAGTTGGAGTGCTGAGCATGTGGGCCTTGGAAATTCTGGAGGCCTGTTACCCACGGCTTTGGCCTCCTGGAAATTATTAGACTCGGAATTGACAGGTCTGGCCCAGACTCCTGGTAGGTACTACCCCACGTATGGGACCAGATGCTCCTAGAACCAAAGAGCTGTTCTTGGTAGCCTTTTCTGTTTCTCTTCTGTCCCCAAGTGAGGCTCAGTGTGTCCAAAGCTAATAAGTAGACTGTGGTATTTAGGTTCAGTTAGTTCTATGCTGTTAAGATTGTTTTAATGTTTGTATTTTGAACTGGCAGTAACTAGCTTAAACTGTGTTGGTGAATGTTAGGCTTGTGCTAGTATGTCCTGACATGGGGTATCTGAGCCCTTGGGGAGGTATGTTAAAGCAAGGTACAGTCCAGCACAGTGGCACATGCCTATAGTCCCAGCTACCTGGGAAGCTGAGTTGGGAGGATTACTTGAGCACAGAGTTTGAGTCTAGTCTGCACAACATGACAAGACCTTTTCTCAGAATAAAATAAAACAAAAAGCAAACGCCAAGGTATGGAGCATTGCATATTATACACCATCAGTTTTGAAAGATACATACCTGTGTGTG